TAATTCCAGCTCTGCCGGTCTTTCACAAGTACAGCAACTAAGTGGAAACCGTTCATTGAATTCTTCTATCTCTGATAAAATTCTGGTGGGGGAGTATTGTGGCGTAACTACGACTACGAATATTAAACATCAATTCCCTGGTATATAAGACATGCTAACTTGATTCAATCACGAGGTACCTTTTGATAGATGAAGGTTGGCATGGTCGATAACTCCGCCCCCACAGATTTTTTGAAAATGAATTTTAAAAAATTAGGAAAAACAGTGATTTCTTTAAAAAACCAATTTCAAATATATATTAAAAATTTTACAAAATGTTATCATTATTTTTTAGCTCTAATTTAACAAAATAAAGTAAAATTTAATTTATTATTATCAATTTTAATTTTAAATATGCACTCTTAAATGAAAATAAATTTAAAAAAATTAAGAAAAACAATGATTTAAAAAAAAAAATTTCAAATATATATAAAAATTTTTTCAAAATATTATGATTATTTTTTAGTTCTAATTTAACAAAATAAAGTAAAATTTAATTTATTATTATTTATTTTAATTTTAAATATTCATTCTTAAATGAAAATAAATTTAAGAAAATTAAGAAAAACAATGATTTCGTTAAAAAAAAATTAATTTCAAATATATATAAAAAAATTTTCAAAATTTTACGATTATTTTTTAGTTTTAATTTAACTAAATAAAGTGAAAATTAATTTATTATTATTTATTTTAATTTTAAATATGCATTCATAAATGAAAATAAATTTAAAAAAATTAGGAAAAACAATGATTTCTTAAAAAAAAATAAATTTCAAATATATATAAAAAAATTTTCAAAATGTTAGGATTATTTTTTAGTTCTAATTTAACAAAATAAAGTAAAATTTAATTTATTATTATTTATTTTAATTTTAAATATGCATTCTTAAATGAAAATATATATAAATACTTTTATATTTGAATGAATAAAAAATATAAGAGAAAAACAATTTAATCGAAGGACCCCAAAAATTTGAATGGCCTAGGGACAGTCAATCTCTGTTTATAAAACGACAAGAAGAAAAATGACTGTTATCCTATAAGTGAGGAAATTTTTATTCTATTTATCCATGGAAAGTCTAAAGCTTCGATTTATCACGTTCCCGTGAATCATAAAAGCGAAGTGTCACGCGCTTTATTCTATGTGCACGACTGAAAGCATGCTAAAGACCCTCCTGTCCTTTTTAAAATGCATATCTCAACAGCCATACGATAGAAAAATCAACGCAAACGGCATAAAATTCAATAGTGAGATTTTTATCTATTTGACATTTTTGATTCCAGCTTAGAGCTCTTTGCATTAGCAACAGAAAGGAAATAGTTGTTAAGCCACTTTTCTCGAAATCTATTGCGAAGCACTTTTGTTGTTTTTTTTTTTAATTGCACAGCAGTATTTATACTGCCTTGCAAAAGAAAAACCAAGGTGAGCGACAAATAATTCAAAATTGAGATTTGTATATGTTACGCCCAAAACCCGAATTCGGTCACTTCGCGAGTTGGCCGACCAAATCGCGAAATGGCTAAGAACGCTGTAAATTGGCTGGCCAATGTTCGATCTTTTCTTGATTTCGGGAATTGGCCGGCCAGATTGCGAAGTGGCATGGGATGATCAGCCAAAGTTGGAAGAAAAAATCATTGACACGTATTATTGGCTCTGTAAAACCATAACTTCATTCTTTCAAAATTACTAGCTGCGGTACCCGCAGCCCGCAGCTAACTGCGGTGGTATGTGGCCATTTGAAATAAAAAATAAACTTTTTTATTGACTATTTGAAGTAAAAAATTAAATTTTTTAAATTTTAATTTAAAAACTTGTCTATTTTTTATATTTTTAAATTGGAAGATTTATATTTTTAAATTAAAAAAGAAAACAAAAGGGGCAATATTAGCAAATTAACTTTTTAATAAAACAAATATTAAAAAATTGTGGTCCCACCGTACCACCCGGTATGAGAAAAAACGTACCACTATAATTAAAAGTAAAGTAAAAGTTATCAGAAATGCAAAAGATATTAAAAAAGTAGTAAAATGGTCGACAAAAAAAATTTACCGCCTACCGGGCATTCTTGAATGAGCACATCGCGTTTTGGCCGGAACATCGTGGCCACTTCGCGAAATGGCCGGCCAAAGTAGAATATTCGCTGATCGTTTCAATTACATCTCACTTTGGCCGAGAGATATGGCCAAAGTGCGAAGTAGCCGGACTTCGGGCTTTGACCGTAACATATATATTTGGCATCTCTGTATGATTAACTACATGTTGGAAAAACATTTTCTTTTTTCAAAAATAAATTTTGTTTTATAGTTTTCTGAAATTCTATTTTAGCGTTCATAGGATTAGCTATAGAAAGAAAAAAGACGTTAAGTCACTTTTCTCGAAATCTGTTGAGAAGCACTTTCGTTGTTTTTTCAATTGATTGGTATAAGATCGTCATGAAGAGCTGTCGGGATTAATCTCACTTTCTCCCTCTTTTAGTTTCAAAATCCCAGATTGAGAATAACGTTCATAATTGGCTGTAATTTGCCAAATGTGATTTTGATGCATACTTATTGATTTATTTAAAAGCATCATTTCAAAATATCACAATTTTCATTAAAAATATTAATTTGAGAGTAAAAAAAGTTTTCTGGTTCTGTAACTTCTTATAAAACCTAAAATAAGTGTTTCCGACTAAACTATACAAAACTAACTGTACACGGTTTATGACTCTCCTAAAACGGTAAAAAATAACAATTGAAAAATTAATATTGATCCAGTTTAAAATACGACTGACAAGCATATTTAGGTAGTTAATTGTATACTGCAGTGGAATTGAAAAATCAACGTAAGTGACAAAAAATTCAAAATTGACATTTTTATGCATTTGGCATCTTTGTATGGTAAGCTGCATCTTGCAGAATTTTTTTTTTCAATTTTTTATTTTATTTTATTAATTTTTAATTTAATTAATATTTTATTAATTTTTAATTTAATTAGTATTTTATTAATTTTTAATTTAATTAATATTTTATTAAATTTTATTTTTTAGCATTTTATTTTAGCGTTCATAGCATTAGCAATAGAAGGAAAATAGTTGTCAAGCCATTTTTCTCGGAATCAAATAGGGAAGCACTTACATTGTTTTTCCAATTAATGGGCAGTGTAAGTAGTTAATTGCTAATTTAGGTTTTTCAAGTCAATTATTTATCAAAAATATTTTAGACGTTATAAATTGAAGTATTTAAAATGACAAAAGGAAATAAGACTGATATTAATTTGGTATCATTTTGCTGACATGTTTAAAATATTTAAAATGACAAAAGGAAATAAGACTGATACTAATTTGGTATCATTTTGCTGACATTCACATTTAAGGTGAATATCAACTATTTTTCGCCTACTCACGGCACTGATGAACTACTTTTTGCGTTTGAAAAAATATATACCCACTCTTCTGTTGCGAAAAATACGAAATTACTTTCCTCACAACTCAATATAATTTGGTTATTAGTTTATTGTAACTAACTATGAAAAATTCTCTTTCAAAAAAGTCACAGTTCAGATTGAAACGATATCATTTTGAGGAAATTATTTAAAAACATGACACGACAGAATATTTATTCAACATACATAAATGAAGTCATATCGTTTCGAAATCTTTTTCTTTTTTTAAATCTGAACAGCAGGTAACTTTAGATTTTACTCGTATTGAGCAATGATGAATGTGATACTGTTTCTAAAAAAAAAATTTTTTTTTTCCTTATCTGTACAGCAGGTTATTATTTCAGATTTCAATACCAGTGAAAAAAAGAGAAACTTTTTTTTGTTCTAGAAATCTTTCATTATTCAATGTGTATTGAAAAATCGTATCCCTTTTTAAATACATTTTTCAGAGAAATATAAATAAAAGGAAATTCAATGAAATGAATGAGTTGATTTCATATATTGATACACTTTCCCTTCAATTCTTTGCATCATTTATAATACAGCAGGAAGGCAATAGTTTTTATTTTATTTCATTTTTTGTTTATTATCAATAGATATTGCAAAAACAGTTCGGGCGATTGCGCAAAAGAAATAGCCCAGCTTTCATATGAGGCTATGTTTATGATCATATGGGTTTTTGATGCATTTTGTAACAAAAAAAATTTAATTTGTTTTCTATTAAAAACAGAAGGATTTATTTATGTTTTGTATATATTTAAATATATTTTGAAGAAAAAAGTAGTTAAAAAGGAATAATTTTTAAGTTTAAAAAAATTCAGCGTCATTTTAGGCATATTAAATTAATTTAATCCCATTTGTTACTTGTTGCCAATATGTTAATCTGCGCAAATACGCTAAAAATATTTATTTTAAAGCAATAGCCTATTGTAAAACCACGTAGAAGACTATATGTACTATTTTATTGTAATTTTTTAAGTGGCGTCTGTCCATTGGCATGACAACCAATGGGGTATCCATCCATTTGCCGAACTTTTTAAACACATCTTGTATTTTATGTCAACGTTGCTATGAAAGTGTCCATTGAAAGAATATAGGAAGAAACGTTAAAGTAAAATTTTCGAAACTGAATATTTAATTTAATTTTTTTTGCAAATTTTTCTTTTACTTTGTCCAGACTTTTTACTTTTGATCATAATGATTGTAAGTGTGTTACATAAAACATAGGAAGTATCAACAAAAAAAAAAAAAAAAAAAAAAAANAAAAAAAAAAAAAAAAAAAAAAAAAAAAAAAAAAAAAAAAAAAAATTCAAGGTTTCTTTTTCCTCCTTTTATTGACAAACACATTGAACTCAGATGAAAAGAGTTTAAATATCTTAAGAGAGAAGAGAATATAAAAAGTATTTATATCACATGAAATTTACAGCCTGAGTTTATTATCCTATAGCTTCTACTGATATGTAACTTCTTTTACTCAATTTTCATCATTAGTTCAGATTTATTAGATATACTTTAAAGAACAAATTTAATAACTTACTTAGTATATAGAGATAAATTCAGCAAACCATAACCAGTACGGAATGCTTTCAGTTTTACTGGACAATGGTCATGAGCACGGCAACAAGCGTCCACGTCTGTTTCCGAGCCCAAATCTTCAAATGAGCCGGCTATATCACCAACTCCGCACCACTTTGTTCCTGCAATAAAAATATTTTTCCTGATGCTTATGCAAATTAAAATACATAAATGCAACAAAATTAGATATGTTACAATATTTTTTTCTGTTTTCTTCATATGTTAATTTCGAGTGGGCATTTTTGATCTTGAACTCCAGTATATTTGCATATCATTTACGAATTAATAGCAATAGAATAGGGAGATAAGGCTTGCTCAGTTACTTCAGAACACGTACGTGAACGTGTGGGATATACGTGAAAGTTCTAAATCTATGTGTTTCAAATTACGTACGGATTAATCTGCGGCTAATAATAGTTATTCTGATTAGACAAAGGAATACTTGTTTTACGCTTATGTAAGTTTAAATTAGTTATGTAAGTTTATTATTAAATTACGTGCGGATTAATCTGTAACAAATAACAGATATTCTGATTCGATAAAGGAATACTTGTTTTACGCTTATGTAAGTTTATTTTATCATGTTAATGTAAATCTGTAGCAATATTTTCTAAAAGTAATATCTTCTTTAGCTTTATGCTGAGACAGGTTCCAAGTGGTGTAAAATGTATCGTTAGTTTGTAATGGTAGTACTTTACTTACGTCGCACTAGAGCTGCTCGATGGGCTAATGGTGACGGTCTGGGAAACATTCATGTGAATGATCCGAAGACATGCCATCACAATTTCTATCATACGAATGGTTTCCCCACTTTGGTAGCCCGAAGACCTGCATGATATCTTTAGTTTGAGCCATGTAAAAAAAAAAACTTTTCTGTGAAATTCGATTTGTTTCACAAAAATAATTTATTGTGCCTCGGTTGTTTAACAGAATGAAGCAAAGCTCAAACCGAATGCTGAAAGCAGGATTTTGAGAGTCCAATACTAAGGATAACCAAAATTCCGATTTGCATATGCAGCATGTTGCGATGCCGATATTGTAAATAAACTCGACGGTGTTGTGTGGAAGTATAAGCTTAGGTACCAATTTACGTGGTAAGTCTGAATACTGAAAACAAAAATTTAAATAAAAACAAAAAACTGAAAACAAAAGTTTAAATGCTTGGCCATGCCAGAATTAAAAAAAAATAGTATTATCTAACTTGACTTTACATATTTACTGTTTTCAGAGTTGCTTTAAGTTGCAAATATGGAATTGTAACTAGATTAATAGATTGCGCATGCTTGCGTCGCAGATTACTCAAACAGCGTTTGATCAGTTACTTCAGAACATACTTACGTAAACATGAGAAAAGGTACGTGAAAGTTTTAAATCTCTTTGTTTCAAATCACGTACGGACTAATCTGCTACAAATAAATAATTCGGAGATTATTAAATGATTTTACCTGGTGCAATCCCATTCCAAATGCTCCAAGTTCCTATTATAAGACCTGGTGATTCAGTAGTAGTAGTTGTTGTTGTGGAATCTGTATCATTGATGTTAGGAATTTCAAGCTGTGTACAACTATTGATAAGCAGTAGCATTTCTTTGAAGGTGGGATATTTCACTGCTAAACCACTCACTTTGATGATTGGTTCAGCATCTGCGTCTTCTCTAAAAATATCAAATAAACTCATGCAACACCACAGTAAGAATAGCAAGTGTGGCAAATTAAAATAAAGCAACGAAACATTCATTTCATGTCGTTAGATGTTGTCAATTAATGTACACGGCGTTTCAAAATTCGAAAAANTCATCTAATCTGCAACAACAGTAGTCACACTGATGTTACTTTAAGTTGAATTACGCATATAACTGAGACATTTCAAAATATTTTTTTTTTCAATGTAATTAAAGAGTTTTGAGTTGATAGTATTTAGTATTATTATTTTCCCAATAATCACGAAGGCAAAATTATTTGACGGCGCGTCTATGACCTCATTAAACAATTTTTTGGAAAAAATGACACGTTGGTGTTCACGAGGTTCGCCACCCCTGGACGCTTTCGCCTAATTTCGTTTCGTTTGACCTTTTCCTATGGAACCACCTTTAAGTACAAGTTTATGCGACTCTTGTGGACTTATCATTGCGCTGATTGTCGTCGTTTCGGCAAACATCAAAACACACATGGCATCTTTGTGTGCGTCTAGAAATCGTTGTAGACTGTGCAATAAGTTCAGTGGGAGCAACTTCCAAAAACTCTTGTAGTATAATCAAAAAAAAATTTTTTTTTCTGCTGTTAGCGAGTTCGTAGTATATTTTGAAGTTGTTTTACAGCGTGACGTCAAAATTTACGGGGAATTTCTTCCAATTTTCCCCCTTCCAACGTAGTTCGCGATTCCCAAATTCTATGGCAATTTTTCATCTTCTTGAAGCCTTTTATCATGTCGCTTAATTTGAAGTTTCCTGCATATGTCAGTAGTTTAAAGTCGTAATTTCAAGTGAAAATTTTGTATAAGGTTGTTGTTGTAATTCATTTACGTCGCACTAGAGCTGCACATTGGGCTATTGGCGACGGTCTGACAAACATCCCTGAGGATGATCCGAAGATATGCCATCATAATTTTGATCCTCCGCAGAGGGGATGGCGCCCCCGCTTTGGTAGCCCGACGACCTACACGTGAAGTCGAGTACTTTACTGTAGAACAGTTTAACGAGGACTGATACCGCACACCCTCGGTCCTTACGCAGGCTGATCCAAGTGGTCACCCACCCGCACAATGACCGCATTTAGTGATGCTTGACTTCTATGAACTGCCAGGAACCGTGTCTTAACAATTAGTTCACCGCGGGACTATTTTTTATAAGGAATTAGTGGAACTAATTAATCTATTAAATTAGAGGAGTTCATTCATTTTATCCAATTCATTCAATTTTGTTCATTTATTCATTAGAAACAGTACTACCGTTGAAAATATTCAGTGTGAGCTCTGCTCCAATCGACTTCAGTGGGGTATTTAGCTGTGGGATTAACGTTTCATGCTTATAGTATCAGGCGTTGTGCTGTTCGTAAAAACCTGTAATTTAGCGAAAAAATTATATTTTTTTCAATCATTAGAATACTTGATGATTTTAAGCTTAAAAACAATTATTATGTGAAAGTTATTGACATCACGTTGCACAAAAATAAATAATTTCAGATTAATTCATTAATTTAACTTATTATTCCAATAAATTGAAGTATACAATTGACTCCGCGAGCAACGATAATCGGGTAGACAGGCCTTGATATTAATTTAGCTTCGTTAAAAGGTTAGTTGAAGTATTCTGATTTTTTTGTAGCCTTCTTGAAAACATTTAATTAACTTCATTTAATGCATATCAAATAAAATAAGAAATATGGACTTATTTAAAACTATGCAAGCTTTTGTATTAACATATTGTTAAAATTTGGCATAATAAAATTACTTATTTAATTATCTCTTCTAATGTATATCATTAATATATGTTAAAAGTAGACATAGTATAAATTGCTATTATTGTTCTTTAACTCTTCATTACTACCTGATAATAAAATAAAAATGAAATACTAAATTGTGTATTCATCTAAGGAAATCAATTTGTTAGCTTTGATATTAATATTCATAACATAAAAATATAAATAACATAATAAAGATAACGTAATCTTTATATAGCCTTTATAATATCGTAATTTTTGTATAACATAAAAAATTACGGTCTAAAACTGTTCTTCATTGTTGTTGGTGCATTCTTATTGGACAGGCGATCGAACCCTGATTGTACAAAGAAGATTCAGTGGTCAATACAAAATTGTTATAAAGTTTAACGGGTTTTTTTTCTCTGTAAATTATTTGTCCAACAGTGCACTGATTGCAATACACAGTTCCCAGTAGATCACCGCAGTCAAACATCACTTACAGACATTGAGAGATTGAATGACCACTTTGATCAGCCTGCTTTTTTAATTTTCATTTTGAAGTTAGTTGCTTTTTCGTTTATTTTAAGTTTATTAAGTTTTATTAGTTATACTTTTATTGTTTTAAGTTACTACTGTTCCTAGTCAGTGATATTTGATTCTCAACTCATGGACGATACTCTCAATTCTCCTGTGGTCAATGCGAACCGGGAGCAGATTTCGTTTTCGTCCAGCCATCGCTGGGATTCGAACGTGGATCACCTAATTGGGTGGCGAGTGCTCCATCTCTGAGCCACTTGCGACTCATTATAACATATTTTATATTTTATTTCATAACCGGGGTTGAACAGTAGACCCTATTCTTAGTTTACGACTATCAATTGAACATTAATGTTCATCTCTACGTAGCCTTGTAATTTTAAACTCAGCCCAGAAGACAAGGGAACTCATGGATCAAGAATAGGAACAAAGTAGCCTTCAAGGAGGATTTTTTGAGGGAACTAAACTATATTTGCGTTACATGGAGAGGAAAACTATGAAAACCTCTCACAGTTAGTCTGACCGCAAGGAGATTTTAACCAATGATCCGCCCACCACTGAGGCACGTCAGCATTAGCTGGTGCGAGCCAGGTGTGGAATTAGAATCGACAAGCCATCGCTGGGATTCGAACCCGGGTCACCTCATTGGGGGTGAATGCTCTATCTCTTGAGCCACCACGGCTCTACCGTCTCTCTATTTAAAACTCTTTTTTTTATTTTTTTTTATCTGAAGGACTCCAACCAATGGCCGGAGGGAGTTTCTAAGTAAATAGTAACAACCTCCATGCCTTCTATACATATGTACATCAATGTAGTGTGAATCAATTCAAAATTGCGGATTTCTGTAAGAAACACACATACGCGGATACAAACATATACATGGGTGTTTCTCAACAAATACGACAATTTACTGTAACTGTCACAGAAATATAATATCATGAAATGAAACGACGATCTTTTTAAGTTTAATTAGTTAGCTTTTTAGAAGTTAGTTCAGTCAGTTTTTTTAAAGTTAGCGTTTTAGAATGATTCAACACTGGTTTTAACTATTATATATATTTAAAAGTGTATGTTAAGTTTCAAAATGCCATTTCTCTGGCATGTCACCTGGGATATTTTCAATAATTATTTGCTTTAAAACTGCATACATTTTTCTCTCGCTAATTTTTTAGATCTAAACAGTTGAAATCATTTTTGGAGTAGGTGCTTAAGGAGTGATTTCCAAAGTATTCTGTAAAAATAAGTTTTGAAGAATATTTTGAAAGTTAATTTAAAACAAGTTTTTCAGTCAATCATTTGTACATCATTGAAAAATATGTCATTTTTCCTGACCTCTTATTTTAATTCCGCCACATAGCTTTAACTGTTTTTGATTAAATGTATGATTGGTATGCCATTTCGTTAAAATATATTTTCCAATAGAAATAGACAAGACAACTTCAGGAAAAAAATCCACTTAAGAAGATTTAAAACAGGAAATAGGTTTTTATGTTGTCATTTTCCTGCCTTCTCTAAATCATTAATAACATAAATTATGTTATTCAGTCTGAGTCCTTTTAAACTCCATAATGTTTGTAAACTAATTGCTCTCTGTAAGGTATTAATCAGGGTTGGGTTACCTAAGGAATATTTAAAATCAATAAATAAATGAACTATTCTGAATTGTTTTTTGAAGCATTGTATTTTCTGGAAATTACCCATACGTATCAAAGAATCCAAATTTTAAATTCAAATTTTGTAATTTGTTACTTTTCTTTATTTATTTAGCTATATTTTTAAACAAGTATATTTTTAAAGATATTCATTTTTAAACATATTATTCACTATATTATTCATATTATTCTATACATATTATTACTATTATTGTTCTACTTTAATAAATATAAGACAGGTAGGTACGTATTTTATTTGCGTTGCACTAGAGCTGCACAATGGGCTATTGGCGACGGTCTGGAAAACATTCTTTGAGATGATACGAAGACATGCCATCTCAATTTTGATCCACTGTCTGCTAGTCTGACAATCTGCGTGAAGTCGAGCACTTTACGATGGAACAGTTTAACGAGGTCCGAAACCGCACACCCTCGGTCCCTACGCAGGCTGATCAAAGTGGTCACCCACCCGCTAACTGACCGCAGCCAGTGATGCTTGACTTTCTGTTTTCTACTGGGAAACTGTGTCTTTTCGATCAGTTCACTACGGGACTCGATAAATATTGATGGATACATATGCAATTACATCAACCTCTTTTAGACTAATTCATTTTAAAATTCTCTTTAAATGCAGTTTTGTGTATTTTCTAGTAGAAAATATCATTTTCTTTCTAGACCACATCTCGTGTTTTGTAAAGGCCATAATAATAAGAAGACTCAGTAACAGCACTCGCTGTATACTTTTTTGGCAATTTTTATTTTACAGAACTGCCGTATATTAATTTACTTACAATTTATTCCTTATAACAGGATCTTCCAAAATATTCGGAATTATTCATATGCAAGTAGCAGAAAAACTATTAAAGCTATGGAAAATAAACCTCTTTTTATGGGCACATATCAAATGACAATCATGATAATCAAAATTATTGGGGCGTTGACCTGTTGTTCCTGTTTCTATAAATACCAATGCATTCATTGAAATTAATTTGTATGACAAAAGTAAAATGTTGCCATGGCTACCACATCTCGGCATTTTTTTTCTTCCTAGAACGGGCATTTAAGTATTAACGACAATTTCAAGGAATGAAGTTTTGAAACCTCATTTCTTGGAGATTTAAATATGCGCCTTTTTTAAAATTGGATTACTTGGAAACTATTTGACCGATTTCGTTTAAATTTTGTGTTTTGCCATATGAAATTACATTCTTTAAATTGATGTAAAAAAAATTTTCTACTATTATTAAATGCGATAAAAATATTAATAAATAAATAGTTAAAATTCTGTTTAATATTAAAAATTCTGTTCGTATTAATAATTCTGTTTCAATATTAAAAATCCACCATATTTTAATGTTGGAAATCTAAATCCGTCGAAAAAAGATGTTTGTTCAGAAAAAAGTATATTTTTGAGCCTGATTTCTCTACTTAAATATCATCTGCTTAAATAAGTCATCATATTTGAAGTCAAGCTCACGAGCCATTAAGACTGAGTCCTAATACGTGAAAATCCAATTAAAAAGGGAATCAAAAGTAATTCAGGATGCTCCGTTTTTTCTTCTTTTTTCTTTTATTTTCTTTGTTTTTGTGTATTGTTGTGATAAAGTAAATTACATCCTTGCCAAAAAATTAATAAAATAAAATATCACATTTATTCTCCATTTAACATTAATCTCCATTCTCCGTTAACTTTGAAATAATTCTTTAATGTTCAAAATTTCATTTATCATTGCTCTTGCTAGATTGTTTTGTAAGGCATACATATCAAATTAATTAAATTAATAATTAAAAAATTTATTTTAACTAAATAATTATAATTTATTAAAATTAATAATTTATTTCCCAGTGTTTTCTATTATATTAGAAAATAAATTCAAGTTTATAAGTGATTCGATTTTGTATGATGTTAACATATTATTTTTTAATTAATTTATGTAAGGAGAGAACATAATTTTATACGTTTTCAGTTATATTTATTTGTTTCAGTAATAAATCATTTCCGAATTGAGAAATAAATTATAAGAAGTATTTTAAAACGTGTAACGTTAGTTGAATTATTATTTTTGCTTTCGTTTTAAAGTTTAGGATAACTGTTTAATTTTACTTTAGATTTGCTGAAATTTTAGATGTAAGGAAAACTTAATGACATAACTCCATAATAATATGTTGATATATACGTAAAAATTAATGTCATGAGATTATTTTAAAATCAATGTACAGCACTTTAAGTTTTAAGATTTTAATTTTGTTAAAAGAATAGAAATCAAAACGTAATAATAACAGAGAACAATAATCAAAAATGATGATAAATGGCTATTAGAGGTAAATATGGCTAAATAAGGGATAAATAAATAGTTAACTCGTAGATATCGTCACAACTTTTAATGTTTTTATTTTTCAAATAACAGGTAAATATTTTCAAATCTTTTAGTAAAAACCTACTTTGTACAATTAAACAGTCGTTTCCTAATTGGAAGTATTAAATTAAACAATGAATATAAATTAGTTTAAACTGTTTATAGTATTCTATCAACAAATTAAAGATTAGATATTTTACTTCACAAAATTTTGTGAAATTTATACAGCTAATTTTATACAACAGTACAATTGCTTCATTAGTCATAAAATTACTATTATTAATCATCATAATATTATTACTTTATCATTATTCGTAAATTTTGAAAAATAAAATTTGAAAATAAAAAAATAAAATTGAATAATAAAAAAAAAGAATTTTACTTTACAAAAAATGCAGAGTTAAAAAAAATTATAGATAAAAGATAAAAGTTAAAAATACAGAGAAAACATGGAAAATAATATATTAAAGTTTAATAAAAAGAAAAACTTTACTTTTAATTTTTAATGCTTTTAGTTAAAAAAATTTATTTTATTTAATATCTATATATATTACTTTATTATATTGTAAAACATTTTAATATTGTTAACGCACAATAAGTAATAATATCGTTACTCACTCTAATTCATGTAGCCTGCAATGTTTCATTATTCCACTTTCATCAAATATTATCTCCGCAAGAGTTTTTCCATCAGAATAGAGTATTGGTTTCAGTTCAATGTCCACAAAAAAATTTGGAATTTCGCACAATGTAATTGAATTGAGTAAGGAAACTGAAAAAACGCACCGCAACAGAAATATCGAAACATCACTAATTTTCTTTGCCTTTAGTGCCATTAACAGGTTCGATGATGAAAACCTGGTGACCTGCTACACCTGCTCATAACCGTTCCTTTCGACCTTATGTCTATGCTTTCGACCGATTGAACTAGCAAACGATGATGACTTGTTTTTTGCGGTCAAAAATCTGGCAACGGGTGTAATTTATTCTTTTGATGCTTTCTGAGGCGGAAAGAAGTATAATGCTCATTTAACGTTCCGCCAAAAAACTTTCAAGACTGTCATCTTAATATTATTTATTATAAAGAACAAATGAAAAGAAATGGGAAGAAGAAGGTTTCATTTTATAAGACAAAACCGGACTAAACGGAAGACTTAAAAAACGAATTGTTTGGGTTTCAGAAATTTTATCAGTCGCTGGAAGGTTGACAGTGACCTAAAGTTGAAAAAAGGTTGTATTACAAGTGCAAAATGTTGAACGTTATCAAAGAGAAATTTTTCATATTTTTTAAAATGGGATTTTTTTAAAATTTCATTTATTCAACTACTAAATGATTTGACGAAAATGAAAGGATAAGTTATACAATACGGATTAAAAAAAAAAAAAAACTTAATATAAACAAAACATGCATTTTGAGATAAAATTAAATTTTTACTGGAAGATTGAAAATATGGATTAAAAATTTATTAATTTCCAATTTTTCATTTATTTATCTCATTATAACTTCATTTGTTATTAATTTCTCATTTTTACAAGGGACTTAATACTATTATAAAAATCAATATTTTAATATAATGTAAAGTAAATGGAATGCTTTTTTGCAACAACTTATTGTGGGTTGTGGGCTAGGTAAGTTAACGCTCCAGAATTTCACGACCTAAGCTATGATTGTGGAAATATGGAAGCATTGCGCACAAGCCGTCTTTACTTCCAAGACAAGATGGCATCTATCAATCTGAATCTAGGTGGGTTTAATTATTGAGATTCAATCCTAATCTTTGCTAATGACAACTCAGTGACTTTCAATGAAAAGAAGCACCCCAATTTTAGCGTTTTATTTTTATTTATACATCAATACGTTTAATTAAAGTTTTTAATTTCTATAGAATGTAGAGAGTAAATATTTGTGTTAGATTTACAATAATACAGTAATATTTTAGGCTTTTTTAACCCTTAAATCCTGATTTTTTTCCGGGTTTTTAATTTCTTACAATAATTTAACATATTTCATAAAAAAAACGCTCAGTGGCTCTGCTCTGGAATGTACTTTTGTAAGTCAAGCGACCACGCAAATGATTTCCTTGCAATACGATCCTTGGCATTTAATGTGACAATGATGGATATCACCAGTGTCACATTCAATGCTACATCACTTTACATACTCATTACATTAAATATCTCAGACATAGAAATTTTTTTTTTAATTAACATTCTCCATATTCTAACTTCTTTTTCAAATGCATTTTAATAAATAGATCAAACAGATGTCAGATCAAATAGATGACTCAATTATTAATTTGTCGGGAATGACATTAACAACATTACATTTACATCAATACTTTTATTTTAAAAATAAATCCTAAGTTTTTAAGCTTTAGTAACAAAGAAGTGTTAAGCATGAAGAAGCATCGATAGAGTAAATGCGGTGCATTACTATTAATAAAAAAATTTTATTGTCAGAAGTATGAATTAAGTATTTTTTGGTAATTCATGCCCTTCATTATGCCTCTTTCTTAACAAAATATCAATAAATAAATGAATAAAAATAATAAATAAATGAATAAAAATAATAAATAAATTAATTAAAATAACANACTCTGTCTCAAAAAAATAATAAATAAATAAATAAAAATAATAATTAAATAAAAGTAATACATAAATAAATAAAATTAATAAATAAATATAAATAAAAAAAAACGTTATGAGGGAATAAATTTTAGCTATTATATTTATAATTTTTTTTGCAGCAATTGGGTTAAATTTTTTTAATAAGAGCGGCTAAGTTAATGAAAGAGAATAATCTAACTTTCCTTTATAAATAAAAAAAAATCAAATAAATAAATAAAAATATTTAATAAATACATAAAAATAATAAAGAAAAATTTTTAAAAAAAATTAAGAGGGAATGAATTTCAGCTATTATATTTGTAATTTTTTTTCCACAGCAATTGGGTTAAATTTTTTTAATACGACCGACAAAGTGAATAAAAGAGAATAATCTAACTTTCTTTTATAAATTTCCTATTTATGTACTTAAGTCCAGTAATATTTAAATATTTTCAGATATAATTGAAATTTTTCCCTCCCTCTTTCCAAATTGTTCAATCCCGGAATGAAAACGCATTCAAATTCAGACGATTTATTATCGAGGTCAACCCCAATGAGTGTTCGATATAAGTTATGAAAACAATTTCGATTGTCAAAAAAAAAAAGCGACAATTCGATTGACAGTAAAAAAAAGAAACGTTTTTAAAATTAAAAACGAAACGTTTTCACCTATTAAAAACGAAACGTTTTTATCCAAAACTTAAACTGATTCCTAGCATTGCTTATTCCTAGCAATATTCATTGCAATTCGCATGCCAATATGTAAAAAGTTCTGCAGATCGAAATGGAAATCTCGGTGGTAATCTGCTTTCAGCTCCGCAGAGAAAAGAAAACATTCATATCAAAAATTTCATATTTAAATGATTCAAAAACAAATCGATGCATAAAAAAATAACATTTTCATATCAAAATTTTCTTTAAACGTTTTGCAAAATGTTTATGAAATTTCAAATTTTTATTATCAAATACTTTTTGGGTTATTAGAGTAAGAAGCGAAGAAATTTTTTGGAATAGCGGTGACTGTGCGACAACAATTTTTCTTTGTTACAGAAGTAATTTTTAAGCTTACAATGTGTGGTAAATTGAGCCATACAGTACAAAATGCATCTATAACAGAAAAATTTATATTTAAATTTACATTAAAATGAATCTGCACATTATGATATCAAAATTAGTGATATTAGATTCTTAGAAACACACTTAAAAAATGACGCAAGAAAAAAAAATTTAAAGTATAAAACAGGGGTGGCCAAGCTCCTTGACAGTCGAGCCATTTTTCAAAATTTGAAATTTTTCGTGAGCCGCAATTAAATGGATATTTAAAATGTATGCAAAAAGTGCATTGTACAAAATATGTGCATTGAATTTAAATATTAAACACATTATTTTACTTCTCTTGATAATTCTTTAAAATTTGATGAATAATTGGTGACAGCACTTCTCAGTAATTCTTTGAGATGCTGATTAGTTAATACTGATCGGTGCTTGGATTTCACGAATTTTAAAGTGGAAAAAAAAATGATTTAAATAAGTACGTTGCTCCGAATATTGAAATAATTCGTCAAGCAGCCTTTAATAATTCAGGATACTCGATTTTGGTACAAATTTCCAAAATTCAGTAATTGACGTCGACTTATATTTTAATTGTAGAGCTTGATCTTCTTTCATCTCTATTAATTCTAATTCTCTAGATGCTCAAAAGGATTCAGAANATAAGTACGTTGTTCCGAATATTGAAATAATTCGTCAAGCAGCTTTTAATAATTCAGGATACTCGATTTTGGTACAAATTTCCAAAATTCAGTAATTGACGTCGACTTATATTTTAATTGTAGAGCTTGATCTTCTTTCATCTCTATTAATTCTAATTCTCCAGATGCTCAAAAGGATTCAGAAAAAAAAAAAAAAAGAAATCAAGAGACGATTTAAAATATTTCAAGGCTTGAAATCTATTTTGGAATCTATTTTGAAATCTATTTCGCAGTTTTCGATGAGTCACATATCATTCTCGGGAATGAAATTTGTTACAACGTTGCACTTAGTCTTTCATATTTGTTGTCAGTAATTTAAAAGACATTTTGAAACATACGGAGCGAATTTTTTTTTTTTTTTAAATAAAATAGCACAAAAAGGAAAAGGGAACTCCGGTACATTTATGGAGAGTCACAAATAATCCCTCAAAGAGCTGCATGTGGCTCGGGAGCAGCAGGTTGCCCCCCCCCCCTGGTATGAAATATGTCTTAATTTCAATACTTTGAATTAAGTTGTTTGTGCCTCCCTGTCAGGGTTTGTGCCTCCCATCCTTAATTTTGCTACCCCCCAAAAATTTTCTCCCAACCCCCGGTTTGCGCACCGCTGGTCTAGAGGCATAGTCACTTAAAGCGGGATAAGGGGTTCATAACCCCTATAGAGTAACAAAAACTTCGAAATTTTAGCAAATCATTTTTAATAAAATAAAATTTGTGCATTTCTTTATCTTCATTCGTGTTTTAATATTATAACAAAATCAAAGCTTGAGTAGAAAACGAGGAAATGAATTGAGAAATTTCTCATCCCGACTGATGCGAATTAGAAAATAAGTACACTTTATTTTTTCTATCACTATAATTTTTAAAGTAATAAACATTTATCACTTGAAATACATTGGAACAAATTTGCTGCAAGTCTTTGGATCCATTTAACATTTTTTGAAAATGGAGGACTGAGGTATTTATTGTATTCCACATATGAAATATTTGTTTTATAACATAAAATTATTTTGCTATATTTAACCTTGACAAATTGAAATTGGATGGGTTAAGTTACTTTACAATTATGTTACCTTAACATGGTATATTTTTGTTAAATTAGTAATATTTAATTAAGAAAAATTTATGTAATTTAATTACTACCTCTTTATTGTAATTTAGTCAATAAATTACGAATTATTAGATTCATGTGTGAACTAAATTATTTTTTTTCCTTATGTTTACTTTTACAATATTGGGTTAAAATATTTTAAATAATTGGTTAGAATTTAAATAATTATTTTATGAATTTTTATTTTTATTTTGAATGATTAATATTTATGTGGATTAATTCTTAGTTTAATTTTTGTTAAGTAAGTTAAAAATATTCTTATTTTTTTTCGTGGATTTTGCTGGGTGGTCAGAACAGTAATTCCCATGCGAAAAGAATTTTGTGTTTGAGTCAATAACGGTAGAAATGCAGCAGTAGAAACAATCTCTAAGTTGAACAGTACCTTAGTTCAGAGATTTCAAGCGTGTCATGAACAATTTCCTGAGTGGCGCGAAATACATATGTTTCGAAGTTTTAGGCAAAGGTGTTTGGATTCCGAAACAAAGAAGTTTGGTAAACAAAGACTTTTTATCCTTTATCCAAGTTTCGAAGGAGAATGTCGTTTTAGTTTGTTTCATTTTGAAGCCTTGTAAAGAAAGATGCTGACCCGTTCACGAAATAGTAATAAGGAACTGAACGAATCCCTAATTGAAACGCTGAAATCGAAACACACCATAACAAGAAAAAAAGTAATTATTAGTAGTCTTCTGGCGAGAGGGGCTGACATCAATCACTTAAATTGTTTTGGAAACACTCCACTTCATCTTGCCAGTAACACTAATGAGGTTTACTTACTTTTCATGTTAGGTGCAAATGCTAACATCCAAAATTACGTCGGAGAAACTCCGTTGCTGCATATAATCAAAAAGGATAGATCCATACCCATTGATGCCCGAAAGAAACGTTTTAAAGAATCTAAGGACATCATTAGGGAATTTATAAGATTCTCATTTAGAAATCGCGACTTAAATATGAATTTAAAAGATTCTAAAGGTAATTCCCCTCTTTTTGAATATGTTTTTAAGAATGAGTGTGATATTAACATTGTGAAGCAGTTTGTTCATCTAGGTGCAGATCTTAATATCAAATCCTCCGGGCGTAACACTCTCCTACATGCTGCTGTAACAAATTATTATTGTAAGAATGATGTTGTACAATACTTGCTTGAACATGGATTACATCCTAATGCAGAAAATATTCACAGGCAGACACCTCTTTATTGCTGTCTAAGAAATAGGAATATTAAGTTAGATATTGTGGAAGAGTTGATTAAGCATGGTGGGGATGTCATGAAATCAGATGTTAATGGTAACACACCGTTATATAATGCTGTGCTGAATAGACATTGTAATCGAGAGCTGGTGGATCTATTATTGCATGGTATTGATCCGTCGTTCTTAAATAGAAGGTTACGATTTGGTGACACACTTTTGCACCAAGTTGTGACTCGTGCAGATATTAGTGTCATTGAAAAGTTTCTCTCTTGTGGTGCCAATGTAAATGCATTAGATAGCACCTGCTGTACTCCTATGCATTTAGCAGTTAGTATGCCTTATTGTGATGAAAGGATTGTGGGTATCTTGGTGAAATATGGAGCTGATGTTAATGCCAAGAGCAACGTAAACAGTACTCCACTTCATAAAGCATTTGAAAACACTAGAAATATGGCCGTCATCAAAACTTTGTTAAGGTATAAAGCCAAAATGTGCACTCTTGATAATAATGCATATACACCATTGCACTACTTAATTAAAAATACCTATTTCCAGCCATCGTTTTTGATTGAGTTGCTGTCTACAGAAAAGTCAATTGAAGCATGTTTAAAGCTTACAGCTAATAATAGAAATTTCTTACACTTGTGCTATTGTTACGGGAAGAGAAGTATTTTGAAGATTGTTCTTAAATATTTGTTTTTGAAGCATCATTCAAGGATTAGTGAAAGGAAATTCCCATTAGTTGTCGAAGTCTTTTATTCTAAGTTAGAAGAGTATCATTGGAATTTATTCAATGATTTCTATCTAGCTTGCATGATGGAAATCAATCGGATGCAGCGGGATAGAGTTTCGGATTATATAAATTTTTATAGTCTCCTGGTAAATGAGTTTTCTCTACTGGTTATGGCTCGAGACCATCAGGTCAAAAAGCAAGTGATTGATGCAATTCTAGTTAGAATGACAAATGATCAGTATCCAATTTATAAAGATATGGTATTGTATGTAAGGAAGCAAGATTTCCTTGAAAATCTTGATGCTGTCAGGATTTGTACTAGAGTTTATCGTGATGGATCTTTGAGGAGGATAAATTTACCTCAGTTTCCTGTACGACATATTGCTGAGTATCTCTCTAAACAGGATGTGATAAATTTAATATTAGCATATTCCAATTCTACTGATTCGTTTGAGAGTGAAGCTGATATGAGCTTTGAGGAGGAAAATGGAAGTGTATTATCTGAGAACCATATAGATTTTACAAAAGAGGTGACAGTTGAAGTTTCAAGATTATCTCAGGTAAATGCTGTTTGTTTATTAAGTCTTACTGTGAAAAGTCTTCAGAATTAGCTAATGTGGTTACTTAAACCAGATTTTCATTTTAATCAGCTTGAAAAAAATAGTGATTTAGATCAACTGATTTTTTTAAAAAAATAATCATTCATTTAAATCTAGGGACATTTTTTTTTTAATAACAATAATTTTTGACTTAAGAATTTACAAGGCATTTAAATGAGATCGTTAAATTTTTTTATTGACTTTAGATTTAAAATTTATTATAAATACATATCTTTGTTAATAAGCTTCTGTTACAAAATTACTTATTACTAAGTAATTTCTTGGTTTGTGGTAATAAATTACATTACTTTTGAAGTGTCAGTTTCTTAATTGACATTTGAATTTTGAAATGATTAAATAAATTTTTTAAAAATTCTAATTGATTTTTCAGAATGCAAATAAAAAACAAAAAGAGAATTTAATGCAGTTTTTCTCCCCACCTTTATATTTGTAAAAAGTAGTATTGAATAAGCATTTTTTTTGTGCAAAAAAGATGATACAAATTTGCCAAATTACATCAGTAAAAATTCGGGTTGTTACAATGCTGAAAGTTACAATGCTTTAGAAATGACATTTGAATTGTGAAATGACAATCAAAAAATCTTTTGATTTAAATTATTTTTCCAAATGCAAATCGATACAAAATGTGGAAACTTAAAACAGTAGAGAACCGATTATCCGGAACGATCAGGACGATCACTTTTCCGGATAATTGATTTTTCCGGTTTTCTGAATGGCTTCAAAAGGCTGTTTTTTTTATTGGCAAACCCAACTAAAAAAAAAAGTATTTAGAAATAATGTTAAAAAGTAGTAAAAACCATTAATTAATACACTAATGATTATTTGTAAAATGATGGTAAGGTAAACATCTTTTAAAAAAGAGAGAAAAATCCTAAAATCTTATGAGGAAATTTTTTTTTTTATTTTTAAAAATGGCTGGAAAATTTATCGATTTTCGTCCTGGTTTTCTGATTTCCAGATAATAGGTTCTGTACTGTAAATTTTGTTACTCATATTTTTACATCTGAAAAATAGTTACTGAATGTGTAATTTAAAAAAATAAAAAACAGGATATAAATCAGCACAATTACGTTAGTAACTATTAGATTTGTATTACCAATATGATAGTTCTGTAAATTTAGCTATTCAATATTAAGATTTTTTTATCAATCTGCAATTAATTTAATATATGTGTTTTCTTATATAGGGAATCACAATTTTTTGTCTTGCCACTAATAATGCATTTCTATAAAATTTTTAATCATGCATTAGGTTTTATAAAATAATTTTTAATACAGTTATATAGTTTCAGATGTATTTTTATTTATTTTTAATGATATTCCAATTCCAATTATATTAATGATATTCAAATAAATATTTAAAAAAAAATCAAAAATTTCGAAGTTAACATTGTAACATTGAAGTGTTTAATGTAAGAATAGCAGATTTCTTCTCATCTGAAGATGGTTATGAGTCAGGATTAAGAGAAATAAAGGCCCTGAGCAGAATATAGAATTAGAAGACAATTTATTTCCAAATTCTATAATTTTTAAAAAATAAATTCATCCAAATCAAAAAAATCTATAAATATGTTAGTAAAAGACTTAGCAATTCAATCAAAGAGATTTTATTTTTTAAAGTTTTCTACAATCCCATACAGGGCTGATTGTGCTGAGGGAAAAATCCGGATTTCCGGAATTTTCGCTAACAGTGATCTCCGGAAGTTTCCGGAGATTGAAGGTCCAGACGTTTAAAAAAATAATTGATCACAGAAGTATCCGGAAATCAAATTTTCAAAGGTGGAACTTAAAAACACAGTTTATTTTATTTGTTTGTAAGGGAGAGCCAGAGAGATACTTTAAAAGCTTATATTCATGATTATTATTCATTTTTTATCAGTAAATAGTTGTTATAATCATAAACTGAAGAAAGAAAGACATATTTGTAAATTTTAATTGCTTCTCCAGTTCATCAAAGGTACGTGTAAATGGTAGAGGTATGTGTAAAATTTTAAATATATTTTAAGTAAACTAAGAAATATTGAGAAAAAAGGAAAAAAACCTTGTTTACATTTTTTCTTCTAATTTTTTAAATTAAACTGTTTTTTTTTATTTATTTTTTTTAACTAAAGAAATTTTCCGGAATTTCGACTTGGGCTCACAATCACCCCTAACGTTGCAAATGTATTCATAGGGAATTTTAAATTTTATTTTTCAAAATCATGTTTAAAATTTAATAAGTTAAAACATTAAAGCAAAGGGTCACACATTCCTGCAATAGAAAAATGTAAATGGCAAGAATAGTAGTCGCCTGTGGTACCCAAAATGAAAAGTGGCCACCAAAAAAATTAGCATTCCGTACTGCTTCTTTTCGCCATTTGACACCCACCCTTTCCTCTAGGTGAAGTCACTATTTCTACTTACAGATGTCGTTTTTATGATTGTATTTTTGTTTCACCCAAATATTTTTAAAACAGTTGATATTGACATTCATTAATGCCTTTTATATTAATGAACAAATATTTATTTGAAGATGGATTTAAGGAAATTATGCAAACCTTGCAGAGTTGTTATCAAGAACGATATTGAAACAAAACTACTTATTATGTAAGTATGTTAACATTCTTAGTTATCTAATGAAACCGTGTGGATATATTTTATTTTAATTAATGATGGAAAGAAATTTCCATTTCTGTACTTGTTTGTACCAACTATAAACAGGGGTCTGTCCAGGCCGAATTTACTACAGTTCAGCGGTACCTTCACAAATTCAACTTTAGGACACAAAATCAATTTTAGGATTTCACAAAATACTTTTTCTTAAAATTTTATTTTTGTATCCCTTAAGAGGACGCAATACCTACCCTCTACCATATTTTTGTGTTGATTTTTAATTTTTTAATTTTTCACAAATTATGTCTAAATTTTCACAAAATAGGTAGCTCTCAGAAAAACCTAGACAGACCCCTGATAAACGTCTAGAAACCAAAGTGTTGTTGCTCGGTTCTTTTGCGTGGAAGAAGCTCGCTACAAATCTACTACTACTGTGTTTGATGCTTTTTTTTTGTAGTGTGGGGTGCTTCTTTTTTTTATTTTTAAAATAGTATATTGAGTAGTGTGATATAAAAATAACAGTTTTTTAGGATTTCTGGCAGCTACTTTAAACGTTAGTTCGGTAAGGAAACAAGGCTCAAATGCTACTAATTTTTTGAATCTGTTTGGTATAAATATTCATGGTTCAGTTAAAAGACGCTATGTGAATAATGTCCTTGCAGTGAAGTGTTTATAAGAGTTACATCTGATATTTTAGAGATCTGAGGTTTTTAGGAGCAGTAAGGATACAAATAGAAATCAAATAATAATTGTGTTAATTTCAACTAGAGTAGAATATAAAAACTAAACTAAACCTACACAGGAATGACCATGACCGTGAACTTAATACAGCTCTCACAATATGCATTTCAAAGTACGGTGATCTTAATACAGCTCTCTCGGCTTCTCACCAAACAGCAATGAATCAACTAGTGGTATCCATTCATCGAATTCTATCACAGCTAAAATTCTGGTAAGAGAGTCATTTCTCGAAAAATCGCCGTCAGGAATTCCCCGTGGACAACGAATTTCTCGAATCTGATGTCCGTGCGGACGGCCATTTTCCCGTTGTGATGCATTTTCAATTTTTGTTATCTTACAAAAGTAGCGCCTCACTTCTAATATGACCTTCTAATCTAGAAATCCAGTTAATTCCTTCGTTACTATTGGTAACCTAGTATTTCTTTTATTATCGTATAATGTAATCCTAGTAACTACTAATTCGTTGTGCAATTTATATAAATGTTTGCAATAAATAAGAGAAAATTATATTTTTATTTATTTAGAAGCTATGGGTTAGTTCCAAAGGAGGACGGGTACATTGTTGGACCAGCCGTCTACGGGGACAGGCAAAATTTCTGAGTTTTTTCGAGCCCTGGGGGAGTACTGTAGTGTGTCTACCTCTACAAAAATACAATTCCAATTCACAAGTATATGAGACATGTTAATTTGATTCTATGATGGGGGACCTTTTCATCGATGAAGGTTGACATTGTCAATATCTACTCTCCCCACAAAGTGATCAGAGCCAATACAGGATTATCCCCATAATAGAAGGAATATGATTTTAGAATTAAAAAGGTTAAATAAAGGTTAATCAAGCTTTTCAAATGTTAAAAAAAGTTTTGAATATAATACTCTTTTAAAACTTTGTTTCTTTTTCATTTTAAAATTAAAAAAATACTTTTCTGTTTTATTTTCGTTTAGAAATTTAGAGAATAAACAACATGCTGGCAGTTCATCGCAGCAGAAAGAGACTAATTTAATGTCTTGTGTAAGTTCTTATATTTTATATTCATATAAATTTCAATCAAATTAAAATAATTTTTCATTTGTATTACTTTATTTTGTCTGTAATTTTGTTCTGTTATTGTTTTTTTTCTTTTTGAAGGTATAAAAAAACTTTTGGGATTTTGTGTTGTCATAAATAGGTACCCCTTCCGTTAAATAGTTTAAATGTGAACTGTGTTTAGTTTAAAAATAAAAGTAGTTCGATTTATATTTCATACAAAATTCTAAATTCTCTTTATTTTTCAAGATATTCTTTAAACTTTAGTAAGTTGTTGAAACCTTAAAGCGAAAAGTAACGCATTCTTGCAACAGGCCATTGTAGGCCTGGGGGTCATGAAGATTAAGATTCCACAACTTTGTTTCCAACAGCTTGATCATGTCAATGTAATCAACAATTCATAGTAGCCGCCTTTACTTCCTAGACAAGCTGGTACTGGTTGATTTAGCCTATCCAGGCTGGTAGAGTCGAACCTTGATCCTATATATCAAGAATTCAGGCTCTTGAGCAGAGATTTCTTTGGGTTCAATTCTATATTATAGTTGGAAAGATTTCTGTATTGGGTTCTGTGCCCCAATTTGATGACAAATTGCTGTGACATGTGAGAAACTAAGAAAAGAAAAAAAGAAATCATGGAACAAGACCAACTTATAAGATACGGCTTGTAGCCACATTCCAGAAATGAAAACATATTTTTTTAAAAATTGTGCAATTTCAAAAACCTTTTGCATCCTGGCTATCATAGTTGGCATTAATGCTATTTTCTTAACATTATGATAAATCTTACAGATTTACGAAAAAAAAATTTCAAACAATTCAAATTAAGATTTTGTATTTCTGCTGATTTTTTTTTTTTTAAATTTAAATAGGAGAAAGTGATAAGCCCTTTTAAAAATATATTTTATTTATACTTAAGTATTTTGCTTGCAGTTATTGTTGACATTTGTTTGTACCTTTTGATTAATAAAATATTTTTTATATGAAGGAGGATATCAAGGATGGTGATGAAACAAAGCCAGATGTTGTGTAAGTTTGTTAAATTTTTTTTGTAATGAATTATTGTGAATATATTTTATCTTTGTTAATGAAGGGATAAGAATATATTTCCATGCCGAATACTTGTTTGAATCAACTACAATTGCCAATAAAAAGTGTTTCTTCACGGTTCTTGTACTTCGATGCATGAAGGGAGTACAAATTTTACTCTTTTGCACTACTTTCTGTGTTTTTTTTAAAAAAGTTTTTTTGTGTGTCCCTGTGCAAGTACCCTTAAATATAGTCAACCAATTTATTACTGATGTATGCATAAATCTACCAAATGTGAATGTATTAACGTTTATAAAACATGTTCAGTCAAAATTTAAAAGAATTAAAATTTTTGGTTTAATTACATCTTAGTTTCAGATATGTAACAGGTACAAAAATTAATTTATTCTGCCAAATGTAGTTTTGTTGTAGTTTTTTGTTTTGTTTTAAAATAGTATCAATAAAGCTTATATTCAAAACTTTTTTTTAAAATTTGGATTGCTTGAATATTCTATTTCTAATTGTCATGATTTCTTAGACTAGATTATTCTAATTTGGCAACATTCTTGTATTGGATCTGATTATTTAAACTACAATTACACAGATGCTCAAGTGCCGCTGCCCGGTTTTTAAGCTTGTAATAAATAAATAAATTAAGAAATATTTATTGTGGCTTGCTTGAAGTAAGCTTCTAATAACATGTTTTACTTTTCATTATGTTTCCTTCTACTGTTTCCACACTGAAATTGATGTTTTCTTATCATTAGATGTTGGCAAAACCAGTTTATGCTAATTTATTCTTTAAAAGTTAGCTGTTGTTCACATTGTCTATGAGTCTGTAAACAAATGTTTTTTTTATTAACTTTCTTTTAACTTTTTTATTAACTCTAATATTAACTTTGTTTTTACATTCACTTTTATGAATTGTAACTTGGCAAAGTAAATACTCATTTGAAACTTGGCTTCTTTTTCATTTTAAAAATGATAAAGTACTTTTATTTTGTATAGATGTTTAGAGAATAAGCAAGGTACTGAAGGTTCATCTCTGCCGAACGAGGCTAATTTATCATCTTGTGAAGCAACTTGCGTAAGTTAATATATTTTATATTCATGTAAATTTCAATCAAATTAAAATAATTTTTCATTCATATTACTTTATTTTGTCTGTAATTTTGTTGTGTTGTTTTTAACTCCTTTTTAAATTTTTAATATCAAGTTTGAATCAAATAATGCCATGTTTCTATCCCTGTTCATTATAATTAGTAATGTTTGAAATATAAATCAAAATCAGAGATGTTTGAGACGGGGATGTGCAACCATTTTTGGACAGTGAACCACAAAAACTGCCAAATCTAGTGATAGGGAGCAACATTAACTTAAGGCTGTAATTATAAAATTATAAACTTTTGTATTATTTTCTTAAATTTTTGAATATATATATATATATGGCTATCATAGTTGGTATTAATGCTATNGATTCATTTTCAAAAATAACCTTTCAACACTTGACAATGGTATAATAACCGACATTGTTAATCATGTGGGGGCGGAGTTATTGACCATGCCAACCGTCATCTATCAAAAGGTACCTCGTGATAGAATCAAGTTAGCATGCTTTATATACTAGTGAATGATGTTAAACTTTTGTAGTGGTAGTTACACCACATATATATATACATAGAGAGAGAGAAAATATGGAAAACAATAAAGATAATTGAAATAAAATTCTTTAAAAAGAGTTTAAATATATATATTAAAAAGCTGAATAAAAAAATGGAAAGATAACTAGAAAGATAACTAAAAATGAAAAGATAACTAAAATGAAAAGATAACTAAGGATAAAGATGAGTTCACACGATTATATCCGCAAAAAAGATTTATTTATAATATTGTATCAATGTAGCCAAAGCAAAATATATCAATACTACAATAATGTGAGGAGCACTAAAAAAAATTAAAGCAAAAAAAAAAAAACACATTAATTAGAAAATATATCATGCAAAAAACAGAAAATAAAATGTAAGGAAAAAACAAGACACAGAATGAAACTTATAAATCAATTAACAAATTCAATGAACTTACATGTACTTGCATGAATTCTTTTTGTCTTTATGCTATGTATATATAATCTTATGAACTTGCATAATTTTCTTTTCTCCTCTTTTAATTTATTTGTACAAATTTATAAATATATTATCTGATATTTTTTGCATGAAAATTAGCCTTATAATATTTCTTTTTTTTTTTTTTTTAAAAAGAGAGCAAGAACTACAATATTTCTACATGTAATATTGTAAATATAAAAGTAGGGCATAACTTAAAAATTAATGATTAAATTTATGCCCCTGGTTACAAAAATTAGGGAAATTTGATAAAATTGATCTGAAATGATGAGGGAGAGTTTTTTTTTTCTGATTGTTTGTGATCACTTTGTATCAGAGTTGGCTAAAACCATCAATTTTTTTATTTTAATAATCTTTTATTTTAATAATTTTTAATAATCTAATTAAAGCTCTAATAAAATGTAATAACAATGCTTTACTATATAGCTAAAATATTTAATGTTTGAAATTGAAAAGGTTAAAATTATTTAATTATTACAAACTAACCATAGAATAAAATCATAATTTTTGTTCAAACTCAACCCTCTCATTAATTGTGGTTAAATACCATTATTTGCTTACGCTAACTACATTTTGATAAAAGTACTTCATTTAAATAAATTTGCAACTAAATAGGTATAATTGAATTATTTTTATTAAAAGCAAATTGTTTGATATTCAGATGTTGAAAAATAATAATTTGAGAGTTTCATGCTATTGAACTCAACATTTAGTTTATTATACTATTTTGAACCTCAAATAATAATGTATAAACATTCTTTTTTTATCATTTCTTTCGATAAAACCTGTATTAACAGGGGTCTGTTAAGACGAAATTTGTCCCCTTGAAAAAAAAACGGACCCTTCACCTTAAAAAACGGACCTTATTTTAACTTAAAAGCGGACCCTTCACAAAATAATTTATCTTTTAATCAGACCCTTCACAAATTTGTTTATCTTCAGTATTGTTTTGTTAATCGAATTAACCCTTCCCAAGAACGGGGAGGGAAGGAAGACTAATGTAAACGAACTAATATTGTCTTCGTCAGACGCTTCTTCCTTTATTCATCCGAAATGAATATTCTGCGTTCAGCAGTATAGGCTTAGTAACGAATATTCGTATGCTACATCTCTAATTTAGTAGCAGCAATTGCTGTTTATTTTTTAAAATTTAATTTTTTTATTATTTTACAGTGTTGAGCATATTCTTGTACATCTTTACAATTTAAAAACTCCTTGAAAAAGTTTTTTGAAATAACAGGACCCTTTTTGCACAAATTCACAAAAGCAGGACCCTGGTTGAAGGAATGTGACTTAACGTTTATTTTATATTCACAAATTACGAGTAATTTTTTCACAATTTTACAAAAACAGACCTTTCACAAAATGTCTGGACAGGCCCCTGATTAACGATAAAAACAGAATTGAAAATTACTTTAAGCATAACTCATTAATTATACTGCGTAAAATTATATTCAACTCAAATTAATGCTTTAAAAAAATGAGTAAAAATATAATCAAAATCTATTATTATTTTTATTTTTAAATTCATGCCTACCCTGCCCTGTATTATATGAAGCTATGTGAAAATGGTATAAATGCTCCTGTAGCTCTATTTGCTTCTGCAAAAAATTCTAATACCGTGAGGCAAATATCTCTTCAAATATATTTTTCGCCTGCAATTCTATTTTAAGAAAAGTTAAGTGTTAGGAACTTTTTTAAAAGGCAAACTAAATAGATTTTATACTAAATCTAATTTCTCATCAGAGAATTCAGGAAACATTTCCTAAAACTGTTTTCTAAAAAAGCAAATGGCTCTGCAGGAAGAAGTAGCTTTAGTTGCTTGCCCCTTTGATCTTAACAAACTCCCCTTCGTTGGAAACCCCTGTTCTAGATTATTTCTTGCAGTGGTTTCTACTCAATAGAGTTGATATACTATCTAGAAAAGTTTTGACAGTGGAGAAAAAAGTTTACTTTTATTATTATTTTTATTTAAAATAGGAAAATGTTAAGCAGTTTGGTATAGCAATCTATAAAGAATGTGATACATCAGCGATACTGATATGCAGTCAATTTTCATTTTGTGGATATTCCGTTATTTTATCCTTTTGCTTCAGAGAAGTTTTAATTATTAAAATCATTTATGCAAGGCTGTGGCTTTCTTCTTAATTCAGGACAGTGCTTTTTTAAAATTTAAAAAGTTGTGACATTGCCTCAGAATTTGTTTGCTGTTAAAAGATTTGATGTGTCCATGACTACCAACAACTAATGAATATTCAGGAAAAAAATATACCCAATATACCTATTTTAAAGAAAATTTGCACCTAATATGAGAAATTAATTCTTGCTAGTTTCAATTTGTTATTTTGAAAAAAACTTTCCCGATTAATCGAAACCCCTGCATATGATTTATGACTGGTAAGTGTTTATTTCTGTGTCTTGCTATATTTTACAAGTGTATACTGTGCTGTGTGACAGCAATTTTCTTAAAATACTTCTGAGAAGTGAATAAAAAATTTCAGCAATTTTATTTTGCTTGTGAAGAAAAAAATAAGTGTTAAAATTTTTCTTTTACTAAACCCTCTCAATTTTTCGCCACACCCAGCTCGCAAGCCCTCTAAAACCTTTAACTGTAATAGTATAGGTAAATTTTTAAGGGAAAAAATTTACTTTCAAATTATTTTTAATTCCGCATAATTTATAACTAAAAGTGTCTTAATGCATAATATTTCATGCTAAACAAAATTTTAACTGTTTGGGAAATCCATGATGCATGTAATATTTTGCTAAAATGTTCTTTTTCTCCAGCTATGTTTGAATGCTGTAAATTTTTTAAATGACAAATTTTTACTTTTTTTTGTAGGGTTATGAAAATATTAATGCTAACTTAGCTTCTCCTTATTTGATTTTTAGGGGCCCAAAGAACAAATAAATGATAACTCAGTCATGCCAATGGATCATTGAATCTTTGTAATTCTGTTTAAAAAAAATGTTTCAAATGATAAGTCAAATGATAAAACTTGGTTAATAGCATTATTGGATTGATGAGCAACAGTTAAAAATCATTTTGAGTTTATAAATTTTATAACTTTGTTGATAATATCAATTTTTACTATGGTTAAAAAGGCTTAATTATTTTTTTTAAACAAGATATGAACAAAATTCAATAACATGCCTTTAGTTTATTATTATTGCCATTTTAATTTCATAACATTATCTCAGCTTTTTTTTCTATTTTCTTTTCTGATTTTTTATATATAAGCTCATTACAACAAAAAATATTTAATTTTATTAAGGTTCCAATAATGTGAAACATCAATGTTCAACAAATCAATCTTTACATGTTGTTTGATTTTTATTTGCATTTTCATTTATTTTTAAATATAATTTATAGGTTTTATAACTGGTACTAAAATTCAAAATTTTATTTTTTGATACATTTTTTACAATTTCTTCTGATAAAAGATGGCAATTTACTTTTATAATATAATTCTTTAATTTCACTGATTATCAGCATGTTTTAATTTTATATTGTATTCTCATTAATTTATAGAATTTTAATTTTTGGCATTGTATGTTTGTTTATTCAGTGATCTTTTCCATTTATACAATGTTATTATTTACTTTATTCAACTTCATTATTTCATTATGTTACTGAAATATACCTTGTTATATTATAGTAACATAAGTGCATCAGCACTGTTAAAAGTGAAGATACCTCAAATACTGTTTACTGTTATACAGTTTAAATAATTTATGATTCATTCATTTTAAAAATTTGTTAAAATTTTTTTTTTAAATACTAACATTGAAGGATTTTGTTGCTAATATTGTAATAAAGTTTTTATTAAAGAATGATTTTTATTTATATTCACTGATGGAGTTCAACTATTGCAATAATAGGTGTAATAATAAAAATTAAATTTTTAGAAAAAAAAGATTAATATCAAAATGTTTAATTAAAATTTGTCCATTACAAAATTACTGAAGTCTTTTCGAAATTTAAACATATTTAAGACCCATATTTTTAAGTTTATATAGTTTTTGAATATTTTAATTTTAAGAGTATATCAATGCATGCTCTCTTAATCCCATAATTAAATATGAAAGTTCAGTATTGTTTATATTATAGTTTTAATGTTCTATTATATTCAAATTTAATCGGAGCTCATTGCAATAAATCATGAATTTTTTTTTAGTTCGATTAAATTAAAACTGTTACTATACATCGTTTTTTATGTAATATTTATTTGCATTTCTTAAGAGTACTCTTGCTTATAATTATGGAACTTAAATGTGCATGCTAAAAATAAGAAGTAACAGCAGAGTATGTTTTGAGCATATTTTGTCGTATTATTATATTGTATTGAAGAAATTGATAAATTTTATTACTTTTATAGGTTAGTATTTTTAATGATATTTATGATGTCAGTATTTCTTCATTTTATTATAATATATTCCATTCTAAGCATTCACAATTAATGATTTCAGGTTGAGGTTTGTGATTGTTCTTTACTTTTCTATTAATTCATTAAAGAGATAAATTGTTTTAATAATCTAGCCTATATTATATTTGTATTGAAGAAGTTGATAACTTTTTTTTGTTGTGAAAGGTTAGCAAGTTTGATTATAATTTTTCATATTTACTATGATTTATCCCATTCTGAAAATGGTGCACTATATTGTATATTGATTACCGAATTGTTATTTGTATTTGATAAGTTCGAATTCTAAAAATTCTTTTTTTGTTCATAATCTACAATGATCAGTTCATCTATACTTATTTACATATTGGGGTATTTTGTGATGAATGTACCTACATCCATTTTATTTCTTTTTTTTAATTTTATTTCTTGTTTCAGTTTTTGTTCTCTTAAATGTTCTGGAACTATTCTATTGCACATTAACATTAAGATTTAATGTTATGTTGTAAAAGAATATCAATCCATATGAGCTTAGTTATGATTTTAGTTTTTGTGATACTTGTGATTTAATTGGTTTATAATTTCTTTAAAATTTTACTTATTTGTTAATGTTTACATTTGTGTATTGGTAAAAACACATTTTTAATTATATTTTATAAATTTTTGTGATTTTTTAAATAATAATTTAATATACATTATGGAAAAAGTGCAGTGCATTTTGTTAATTATAATAACGGATGAGAATTATATAAACGTTTTGTTAATTATAATAAAAATTATTTCATTTAGTTTGAATTGTCTATTTGTTTTGAAATTTGTTTTGAGATTATTTCATTTGTTTTGAAATTTTTTCTAAGCTTATTTTTCATTGTTATTATTTCATTTAGTTTTTTTCTTCTTATTTTAGATTATTCTTTGAAAATAAGGAAATAATATGTTCCTTTTTTTGCATTTTTCAAGTGTAGAGTTTATGTATTGAAAATGTCTAAAATATTAAAATAAAATATTAATTTCCAGAAAGTGACTTTTATGTAAAGAAATTCGATTAATTACTGTAAACATTTATTTTCATTTGTTTCTATTCAAACATACATTTATACTAGAAGAAATCTAGTCTTTTGAGCATCTCTACTTTTAGATAGTAACCTCATCTAAATCTAACACAACTGAGTTAGATATACTACTAAAAAAGTTTTTCCGGAAAGATTCACCTTAGGAAAAAACGTTGGAAGTTGATAACCACATCCTAAGTTGAACAAAGGTTTTATAAGTTTAAAAAGGCTTATTTTAATATTTTGTAGAATTTTCAAAGGCCTGTTATACAAAATTATAGTTTTTATTTAGATATAAAGTAATTCTCTACAATATTCTTTTGAAAAAACGTTAATAAACGCTATTTTTTGAAAAGAATTTTGATCGGCCTTCTTCCGCCTGGCTCTTAGAACGAGTGCCCCTCTCCCCTTTTGAGTACAGCCTTTACTTCACCATATGTAAATTACACGTATAATTTTCTTAAATTGTCTTATAAAATAGAATTATCTGTACTTTTTCACTGAAATTCTAGCATTTGTAAATTTCCCATAGAGTTAACATGTCCTACCCAGTTTAAATTTTTTTCCAAGTAAAAAAAAATTTTTAAAAGGAAAGTAGGAAATCTAGGACTTTTCGTGAATAATATATTGTACAGAACTAAAATTGAAGAATGAAGTATCTTTTAAAAATCAAGAATCGAGTCAGATAATTTAGGTCCAATAAGACCTTCGAATCTTCTCTCTCTCTCTCTGTGTGTGTGTGTGTGTGTGCATGCGTGCACGCCTGCTTGAGAATTGGAGGTTTCTTTACTGGTTGCCTTTAATCTTCGCTTTGTTTTTTTCGATAATAAACTAGTTTTTTTCCTCAGCAGTGATTTGTTAGATTTTAATAGTGTTTTCGTCTTTCCTTGCTTTTAATATCTCTTTGTTGGTTGATTTTGTGATTTCATTTTTTAGAAGTATGCATTATGGGATAACACTAATGACAGAAGAATTTTGATACTATATATGGTTTCTTCTTTATTGATATCTGCATTGTTTGAAATAGTTTTATATGTTTCATTTGACACCGTTTTACTGTATAGCTATTCAAGTCTTCCGTTATTCTGTTTATGGCGTCACTTTTGTTGCCATAAACAGAATAAGTGCTTCTTATTTAAAGAAAGTAAACTGCGTGTTATAGATTTGACTTGTCTTCTAGTGAATCTCTTTATTTTCAGCTACTTACATTTCAATAGCTTCCTGGTAGCAAGCTATATGGTTTCAACAATACAGTGTTGTAGTTTTTGCAGTATTGTTCACGTATAATGAATATTGAGAGTTTCTTTAGGTTTCAGGCAACATGACTTTTACCATAAATGATAGACTGAACGTCCAGGGTGTAGGGATGGTACATTGGAGGTCATAGTTTAGGTTGTGATCACAGGAAATAGCGTCATTTGGTAATCTGTCAACGGTCTTAAACATTTTTTGTAAAATTAATTTCTTTTGGGATTTTGACCTGTCGGATCTTGTTCAGTAAATTAAATTATGTCAGTTGAGTGTTTTGCAGCGTAGACACTTCTAGCTTGTGAATTATTAACCCCTTAACTTGTGCGCTTGAGTTAATTCGAGCATGCTAAACAGGCCAAACTGTGCACACTCGAAATAATTCGAGCGCCGTTGTATTTTATGCTGCTATAATTTTTCACACTCTAATCGAGAATTGAAAATATGCATTGACATAATGTTCTAAAGTGTGTTTTTTTACATTAAAAAAATTTATTTTATTTGGCCGGTTTTTTTCAAAAATCTGTGCGTTAAGGGGTTAAATTGTATATTCCTTTAATGTAAATAGATAAAAAAAAATAATAAGAGAAATATGATTTATTCACATTATTTTAAAAATTTTGTAATTTAATTGAAATTTTTTTGTTGAACTAGTCGAATATGGGAAATTTTTCTCAACCACTCTCACATGTTTTATGTCTCAGAATAAATAAGTATTTTGGATTGAAAAGAATTTTCTTTTAGAATTCAGCTTCCTATACGCTTCTTTTCCTGAAAAAGAAATGAATATGTGAATGAGTGTAAAAACTTAATTAGAATTTTGAGTTATTAAAGAGAAGATGGGCAAAGTGGTCAGTGGTTACCTCAGGTATCTTTCATTTTTAATGCTTTCCATATGATTTGACAAAACTAAACAGTCACCATGTTAGAATTATTTGTGCCTTTTGGAGCCGATCGCTACATTTTTCTATATTATATTCTAATTTATTTTTGTTTTGCATTGTCTTAGTGTTACCACTTACCGTTTTTTTATTTTATTTTATAACCGTCATTGAACATCAGACCCATTTTAGGTTTACGGCTGCTAATGTTCAACTCCGTAGCCTTGTAATTTTTCAGAAGACAAGGGTACTCCTGGATTGGGAGAAATTTGCATTTGTGGAGGTCTTTTTGATTGAACTAACACGCATTTGCTTTACATGGGGAGGAAAACCTCCCTCGGTTAGCCAAACAGCAAGGGGACTCTGTGGTCGGTGCCAGCCTGGTGAGGAATTCGAATCAACCAGCCATTGCTGGGATTCAAACCCAATTTACCTCATTTGGGAGCAAGCGCTCTATCCCCTGAGCCAATACTGCTCTACCACTTTCTGTTGTGCTGTTTGAACAAGATGAGAGTTTCTTCAATTTGAAGTTGTCTTTAAGTTTTACGAAGCTAAATCGTGTGCTAAATGCTAGGGCACATTTTTTGTGATAGCTATAAGGAAAGCAAAGTGGTCATGTTGAGCTACTATATAGGCCTATTCAAACTATCACCTCCTAAAACTGAAAGTCTCCGCATCTCGTTACACAAGTAGGTTACTGAGGGTATTTAAAAGAAAATGAATCAGTGCAAAAGCAATCTTTCATGAAATTTTTAGTCTGAATGAATATGTAACTAACTTTTAATATTAAGTGGCCGTCAAGGAAATGAGAAAAGAGGATGAGGATTTATTCCCCAACGAAGTAGCCTTTATGATCTACGTTTGTCTTTAGATTTTCTTGTTTTTTTTCTCCGCTATCATTTAAAAGTTGGCTAAAGCGCAAATAAGCTCGTTTTTTAAGTCGCTGAGCAGCCTACTTGCATAGAGAAGTGTGGAGGTTTTAGTTCTAAAAGATGATGCTCAAACTAAGAAAGCAATGGAGTATGGATTGTACTGATTTTTTTATACAGATTGCGATAAAAAAAAAAAAAAAAACTGGTGAATTCGAGTGCGAATTTTTCAAGCACTGCCCATGATTTATTGTACTATTAATAAAGAATCGTTTTTCAGAAGTAAGTGAGTTCAGGTAAGCCTAGAGTAAACCATGAATCTTGAAATGTTGGTATAAAATATCAAAATGCAAACAAATCAAGTCTGGTTTACGTTGAGGGGAATTAACGAAATTCGGGCTCCCAAAATTTTCTTCCTCAACCTCACTGTTTACACGAAGTCATCTTCTGAAGCGTCTAGATTTGATCCATGTTGCCACCACTTTTTTGGCCCCCCAGCTTATGTCCAAAGAGTTAAATACACATTTGTAGTAGGCCTATTCCCATTAACAGCAAATATAATGGATAAGATTTCTCTAAAATAAGCATGGTTTCTTAATATGAAATAGTATTTCTTACTAGCCGTAGTGTGGTAGCGCATATAGGAACTAAACATGTTATTCATCCATGCCTTAGAGACATTTTAATGAGAAAAAAAGGAACCTTTTTATTCAGGACACAGATCAACAGGAGTGTTTAAGAAAGTGGACATAGCATTTGATTGCGTTTTTCTAGCTTCTCCATATGAAATTGTTCTCTTTATTGAATGAACTGAAGTGATGTCCATTTGGCTAGATCACTTAGAACATTCGTTTAAGTTAAAATATTTTCTACATTCCTATCCAATCCGACCTTAAAGTCTGGTACTTAGCTCCATAATGATTTTGTATAATGTTTTTAAAAAAGTAAGTACGAAAGTTGTAGTTTAGTTGTCAAATTTGGGTTGAATATTGGAAAAAAAACGCACTTTTGCAGTCTTCGTTTTCTTCAACTACATTTTTGAGCTGTGTACATTTTTTTACACCTATCTTGAGCTGTGTGCAGGTTAAAAAGATCACTGACGATATAAAACATACCAAATATTCACTCGCATTTAGCTCAAAATAATCCATTGCTCTGAACTTAAAAACTATGATAACAATAATGGAAATTTTTTTTATATACTATCCATGCTCGCACTAAAGCTCTGTTTCTTACTGTTGTCTTCACACAATCTACATACATACTTAAGACTGTTTTTGTTTGAATTAACCATCTTCAATGTAAGACAGCTTACCAATATTGAGTCCTACCGCGAGAACGGACATATTGTTCTAAACTAAGTAGCTTTATTTCTTTATCATGAAAAAAAAAAAAAAAANAAAAAAAAAAAAAAAACTAGATTTATACGAAATAAAGGAAAAGCAATTTGATAAAAACTAAGAAATTACAATTGAGGTTTTTGGGTTGAGATTTGTTAATTCCTCAATTTATTATTTTACTGCCTGTCTACTGCTGTAATGTATATAATAAAGTGATAAAGTATTTTTAAAAAATTTTTATTCTAAATATTTGATGCATTTTATTTTGATGTATATATTATTTTAGATACCTTCTTAGATTGAATCAAATTTTTCTTCCTTTCGAAAGCCCGTTGAGCCCTCAAAGCTTCTTCAACTTTTCTTTCACTCAACTTTTTTTCGGCGTCTAACATCTGGAAAGCAAAAATTAATATTTTCAATATTATTTATAAATGAATACAACATACATGATTCGATGTTCAATTGTCTATTTTCGAAATCTGGTAAAATTACGATTAAAAAAAAATCAAGGGTCCTCTGTTTGCACTATTTAAGGTAAAATTTTTATTTTCAGTTTCCGCGGCCATTGGGTAAAGTTAAAAAAAATTAGAGGGAGAGTTTTTATAGTCTTAACACCAGTCTAAAATGTGTAAAACATTTTGTCTTTTAAGACCCCTCAAGTACCGCAGAGGACTGATCGTTAAGACACAGTTCCCAGCAGATCACCGAAGTCAAGCATCACTGGCTGCGGTCAGTGTGCGGGTGGGTGACCACTTGGATCAGTCTGCGTAGGGACCGAGGGTGTGCGGTATTGGTCCTCGTTAAACTGTGCTACCGTAAAGTGCTCGACTTCGCGCGCAGGTCGTCGGGCTACCGAAGCGGGGGTGCCATCCCCTCCGCAGAGGATCAAAATTGTGATGGCATGTCTTCGGATCATTCTCAGGGATGTTTCCCATACCGTCGCCAATAGCCCATTGTGCTGGTCTAGTGCGACGTAAATGAACAACAAGACACCTCAACTTTTAAGTTTAGGTGTGATTAAAAAATATTATTTAAAATTGTTACAATACCTTTTAGTATACTAATCTATTACTGAAAATTTCCATAGTAGACTAATCGTACCGCATGGTTTCCAATAGATCACCAAAGTCAAGCATCACTGGCTGCGGTCAGTGAGCGGGTGGGTGATCAGTCTGCGAAGAGATCGAGGATCCTCGTTAAACTGTTCTACTATAAAGTATTCCTGTTGAACAGCAAATCGGAATAGCTTTTTTGTGGTCGAATAATTTGAGTTATGAATAATTGGTTCAAAAAATTCATTTCTTACGGAACATAATAAAACTATCAATGGTTATTAATAATTATTAAATAGTTAAAACTTTTACCTTCAACAATTCCTTCACTTTTTTCTTTGGAAAAACATCAAGCTCCTTAAATAAATTATCCAGAGAATCCTCTATGGCTACTTTCATCAACGCAATGCTAAATATTAAGGTGAAAATAAAAAGATCATTATTTGCTGAATTAGGAAGGCAGAACGATTTGTTCGTACCACGTTTGTCTACAAATACCATAATTTAAGATTGGTCTTATTTAATATTTTCCTTCTAAGTTGCTGATGGTTATTTCAATTTATTGTGAACTGAAACTATGAAAAACATATTGCGGTCTCTGTGAAGGTTTATTTCTTTATTCATTTTAGTGATTTTGTAAATTTTATTCTTTAAAATTTCATTAATTCATTTAATATTTTTTTTTTATCAGTTACCTTTTGTGATTGGCTTGATTTTCAAAAATAAAATTGTAATGTTTTTGATGACTTCAATTTAATTAGACTCATCTAGAATAAAGCGAGTTAAATCTTCATTTTAATAGAAAATTTTATTCCTGTTATTTAATTTATGTATATTTGTACATTTGCTTTCGGAAATTAATTTCGAAAAATTATTTTTCTGTTTGAATTCAAAGTAGTTTTAACAAAAATAAATTGAATGGAAATGAAGATTTTTTTTTGTCTTTATTTCTCTCCTAAGTTTTCTAACTAAAATGTTTTACTAATTTTTTTTAAAACTAAATAAAAACCAGCTATATATTAAGTGTTTTTAAAAGGAATATGTTAATATAACCGTAATAAGAATCGGTGAAACAAGTAAACAAATGTAACTGGAATAAGAATTGGTAGAAAGTATACATTTGGCAGAAAATTTTTTCCTGTCGGAATATGAAGAGCCGGCGATAAAACGCCAAAAGTGTCTATTCACTTTCCTCCGATTCTTCGTTTCTCTTTTGCTTCGTTTTTTTCCCCTTCTACCTCTAAATCGTTGAAATAAACTCTACCGGTATCGCTTGTCTCTCACTTTATACATGTAATAAAAGACTTATACCGAGTATGGAGACCCTTGACCGAACTAATCGCTTCGGTAATTGCACTTGAAGTGCAATTAGCCACTGCCATAAAAATATGACAAATGCTATAAACTTGCATACTCAACATTCTATTATAAGAACATACTATGAAACAATGTGCAAAATTTATGTGTTTCTTACTCCATGTATTGTACTTCACTGTTTGTGCAAAGTTTATATATCTCAGTTATTTTCTTCAGTTCATTTTCTCTGTTCAATTTCGTCCCATCAGGATCTTCGTTCAATAAATGACTAAAAATAAATGAAAAAATAATAAAAAAAAATATATAAAAAGCAGTATCAAAGTTATTACATAGCATTAACACGCAAAGTTAAGTTACTTAGTTGAGAAGTTCATATTATTAAAAATGAGATATAAGAAAATTTTACGGCAAACTGAGTTATCGCTAATAAAAATTCACTTAAAATACTGGCAGGAACAAGAATAGCTGTTAAATACCATCAAAATGATAAGCCGTTTTATAGCTTAAATTTGAATGAAGCTACTAATTTTAAAATAATAATTTGAAAATATATTACAAATTATGAAAAATCTTCCTATGATTGTGTGGTAATTAAAAGTGCAATTATTGCCCTTTTCTATGTTTTATAGAGGGAAAGATAAAGAAAATATTTGAAGATATACTTTATTTGATTCTCAAGCTTGTCATTTTTTTCTTTTGCCTTTTCAAGATCTTTTTCTACTCTTGAAATCTTCATATTCCATTCATCTATCTCGTCCTTCCTAAAAAAAATCAGATTATTTTCTCTTCTTAAATTGGCTGTTGACACTAAATTTAGTAGAAATTTTGTTTGCACATTGAGAAGAGTTAGTGGTAAATTGCATTTTAACCAGTTATGTGCGGAATTTTATCCTACAAAGCTTCCACAGAGTGCGGAATTTAAAAATCAAGCAATGACATATATACGCTTCGAACGAAAAGCAAATCCTATTATAAATTTTACAAAAAACTTACTATCAAGATATTTTTAAATGGCTTTAACACATGTATAGAAGTGTTCTTTTGACCCAAGATAAAGTAAATAGTGATAAAAAGTTTAAAATTAAAAAACAGTAAGAGATAACAAAAACTAGCTATAAATTGAATGGTTTTGGTAGTATAGTTTTTTTTCTTTTCCTTCTTACTTTAAGCTTTGTTTCATATGATTAAAAAAGCAAAACAGTTAGAGTTTTTGGATTGAATGCTACGGATACTAGTATTCATTTTTATTTTATTCTTTATTTTATAACTGTCGTTGAACAGCCGACCTAATTTTCGGGTTTACGACTACTATTGTTCAACTCCGTTGCCTTGTACTTTGGAACCCAATCCAGAAGACAAGAGAACTCCTGAATCAAGTATTGGGAAAAATTTTGCCTTCGTGGAGGTTTTTTAAGATGGAACTAACCCGCATTTGTGTTACATGGAGAGGAAGACCACGAAAGCCTCACATGGTTAACCTGACGACAAAGGGACTCTAACCCATGATCCGTTTACCACTGAGGATATTTCACGTCAGCACTGTGATTGGTGGAAGCTGGATGCTGAATTCGTTTCGACCAGCCATCGCAGGGATTTCAACCAGGTTCACCTTATTGGAAGGCGAACGTTGTATCCCCTGAGCTATCGCGGCTCATTAGTATTCAATTCAAGAATATCTAGGATTCATTATTATTTACTTTACTGATTTAATGTTACTTTCCTACATATGTTGCGTTTCATAAATTTTTAAGGTCGAGTTGGATTTAAGGAAAAAAACTTGACGGGATATAGATTTTTTTTGACAGCATATTTTCAAAGATAATGAAATGAGTAATTTCTTTGTTTTGGTTTTAATATTATGGAGCAGTATACTCGCCAATACATTTATTAGACCATCACTTCCAACTTAAGAGATAGCGCCAATTAAAGCAAAGCTCAGTAGCTCAGCCACCAAGGTCTTAAAACTGTGAAACACAGTGTCAAGAAATAGGTATTCTTCTCCCTTCTTCACGAAATTTGGTTTTACTCATTTAGTCACAATAATGTCGATATTTTTCGGTATTTAACGAGTTTCGGTATATGATAAATAACACGTAACGATAGATATCACGCAATAGATATCACGTAACGATATATGACGTACATTGTGTTTTCATATTAATTGTTTATTCATATTTTTCGACATTTTTTGCCTGCTGATACTTTATTTTATAACCGACGTTTAACAGCCGACTCAATTCTGAGCTTACGACTATTAAAGTTCAACTCCATAGACATAGACTTGAATTAACCCATGTGACAAGGGAACTCCTAGATTAAACATTGAGATAAACTAGCCTTCGTTGAGGACGTTTTGATGAAACTAACCCGCATTTGTGTTACCTGGAGAGGAAAACTACGAAAACCTTCCTCAGTTATTCGAACGGCAAGGGTATGTACCCATGATCCGTCAACCACTGGGGATATTTCCCGTCAGCACTGTGATCGGTGCTATCCGGGAGCAGAATTCCTACAGCTCGCTGGGATTCGAGCCTGGATCAACTCACTGGAATGCGAGCGCTCTATCCCCTGAGCCACCGTGGATCGCGTCGTGTCGACATTTATCGTATTCATGATACATCATGAGGATATATTTTTAGCATCGTTATCGTTATAATGAAAAATATCGATATTTAGCTTATATATTATGCTTTATTGTGTATCGCCCAAGTTTAGTGGGGTGGTACATTACGTTATGGTTCAGCATATCATTATTACTGACATAGATGACAAGCTTTTCACGCTATGGTGAAACGTTGGTGAAGCATAGTCCAACATTATAAAGTTTGCAACAAAATTGATTGATATTAGTGTAAAATTTGATTTCATTTTTAAACAGCGTACTTTCATTTTTGATTTTACCATCTCACAATTCTAAATTATTTGCAGGTCCTGCCTTAAGTATTTTTCTGTTTAAAACATTAATGTATTTAGTTTATATCAGGCATTTTCATCTAGGCTCCATGTACAAATTAAGTGTTTTGTATATCTATTGAGTTTATTTTTTTGAATACAGTTTGGTATCAAAAAAATTTGAAATTAAGTTGCCAGATTACATTTTTTGTGAGGACTCCGTCTTCATATTTATGATGCTGGATGGCAGATTAGAGAAATAGTTATTGCGCACGTGGTTATTACGCACAAGAGAGAAATTACTGTGCTTGAAATGTTCCAAGAATCTTAATACATCTTCAGAGTTGACATCCTTCTGTATTGGTTCCTAAAACAGTAAAATTATAATAGGAGTCCAATTATTGAATTTTATAAATACTTTAAAACATAAGTTTTCAAGAAAATTTGATTTTTTAAATTATTTATTTCTGTTGTTGTTCGTAGTAAATCGCGTTAAAATTCTTCCGTCTTAATCCTAGTATGCATTACGTATACTAGGTTTGGCGGCATTGGCAATGTCAGGGAAGGCGATAATGTTCCAATCTGTAGCAGTAGATTTGGTGACACATAAATTTTTTTAAAATTACTTGAGTTTTAGTTTGCTTTTTAGTGCCACTGCCCGTTATACATTTGCCCGGTATACCCTACAGTGATGTTGTTTTTAAGGTTAAGTGCCACTGCTCGGTTTATCAACAGCTTGGCGATAAGTGTCATTATAGAGTTGGAACTACTTTTCAAAACCGCGCCAAGATTGCAAAGTATTACAAGATTGCAATATTTTACCATTCAAGATTCGCCAAGATTGCAATATTTTATCATTCTTTCCTCAGACTCTCCTCAACAACTACTCAACGCTAGTTTTTAATTCTTATGGAAGGAAGAATTTGAAACATGAAAAACCGAACCTGTAGCTAATAAAATGTACGAAGCAATAGCAAAAAGGCAAATAAAAATAAAATTGGAATCGTTATTTGTAGGAAGTGAGCTTCGGATTTTTATTTTAATATTTATTCACATTAAGCCTTATTTGAGAAGTGATAAACGGCGAGTAATCTAAACTATTAACCTTAAATTGCAACTTGGTTATTTTTGTCGGAGTATTGTTTTGTTTTTCTTGTAACTTGAAAAAATAATGGTTGTTCTATTGAATGTTGCAAAGGCAACTTGTTAAATAAAATGATAAAAATGTTTTAATAATTTACTCTGAATTATTGTTTACTTTTGAATTGATTTTAGATAACATGACCAATGTATTCACGTTTACTATATTTTAATGACATGCTTCAGCTTATAATACAACATATTATATTATTGAAACGTTAAAACTTATGCTAATTATAAACTTTTTAAAGAATTTTAAAGTTGGGATTGAATTAATATTTAAGTTGCATTTTACTTACAATTATTATTCTATCCTCTAAAATGTCTTCTAACACATTTCTAAAAAAAGAAAAGATGAAAAAATATTTTACTGTTTTGAATAATGAGAAAGATATGAGATCCATATTAAAATAAGAAAAATGCTGAATTTTAAGCACAAAATAAAAAAAAATATGTATAAAATATAAAAATTCTGTGAAGGCTTTTAAAAAAAGTTAATGCTTGAGACTGGGTTAATTTAAAGTTATTAATTCATTAAATTGAAAATTTTAAAGTTACTTTTTTCTTTTTATCGCATAAATTGTCGATTATAGCAAATAAAAAAAAAATATGTTAACCGACATGTTTTGTCTCATTAAGTCAAAATATCTTTGATTTTTCAAACAACAAGAGTTTCAGATTTGAAAACAAGATTTTTAGATCTGACAAGGTAATTATCTAACTGATGGACTTTATATCTATATTTTTTTACATTATTCAAATTCGTAATATAAATGATGGAATAGTGCAAGATTTTTTGAAATTTTTTAATTAGTTAAAATAACATATATTTTAAGAAAACAATGATATTTTTCGGCGAAAAAAATACTAATTTAAAATGTTTAGAAAAATTCAAAAAAATGTGTAAAGTAGATCGAAAGTGAAAATTTGAGGCTTGATAAAAAAAAACAACTAATATTTTGATTTTATACTCAACTCTAAATTTTATCTCGTTTTTTTTTAAATATCACGAACATTTTTTTCAAAGAAACATTTTTAAACATTGTAAAACAGGAGAAGTGACAGAGACCGGGCTGGGTATCAAGCAGCACACACTCATCTTTAATTGCGTTTTACAGAAAATTTATTTTTCACTTAGACATAGAAGACGTTTTATAATATACAATAGTTATTTTATTTTATAACCGTTGTTGAACAGCCGACCCAATGTGCAACTCCGTAGCCTTGTAATTTTGAACCCAATCCAGAAGACAAGGGAACTCCTGGATCAATTATTGGGAGAAATTTGTCTTCGTGAAGAACTTTATGATAGAACTTACCCGCATTTGCGTTACATGGAGAGGAAAACCTCCCACTGTTAGTCTGACGAAAAAGAGACTCTAACCCATGATCCGTCTACCACTGGGGATATTTTACATCAGCACCGTGGTTTGTGCGAGCTATGCGTGGAGTTCGTATTTACCAGCCATCGCTGGGATTCAAAGCCGGTTCACCTCATTGGAAGGCGAACGCTCTATCCCCTGAGCCACCACGACTCACACAATGGGTTATTGAGACAATGGTCTGAGAAGTATCCCTGACGATGATCCAAAGACACGCCATCAGAATTTTGTTCCTCTGCAGAGGGGATGGCTCTCCCAAGCGCGAGGACTATCGCACGAAGTCGAGCACTTTACGGTAGAATTGTTAAACGAGGACTGAAAACAGCATATCTTCGGTTCATCGATTAAAGTGGTCACCCACCCACTCACTGACCACAGTCAATGATGCTTGGTTCGGCCGTGGACTGATCGTGAGGATACGATTCCCAATAGAACACCGAAGTCGAGGATCAATGGCTGCTGTCAGTAAGCGGGTGGATGACTACTTTGATCAGTCTGCGTAAAGGCCTGGTTTCTTAGGACAGGACGCCGTCAGCTGGAAATCAGCGCTAACCTCTGATTGGTCCATTTGTGAGTTTGATATACGTCATCGAACGCTCATCTTGAATTACAATTGCCGTCCAACTCAACTGCAGTTGGATTACAACGTGACGTTAACCACAGAAGCTATGGCGGACAACATCCAACAGCACATTGAAATCATCCAAGATTTTGATTTTGACATTAAACATTGCTTCTTCATTTAACATAGCACTCTTCATTTAGCTCAGCTATAATGTGTTTTTTCTTGGACAAAGTCATTATTTGTTCTCTAAAACGCTGGTCGACAAT